AACTTGAGGTTGAATGAATAATAATGAAAGCATCACATAAATTAACCTTCTTATAAACACATTTCATAAATTCTTTTTCGATACTCTTATACTTGTTAAATACACAAGGAGTAATGTCAGATGATATTGATGTATTATTTCTAGAATGGTACTACGTTTATATTTATTTATAAAAGCATTACTGATTCATTATGAGAGTTTTATGGTTGATAATTAATCAATTTTGAAACCTTCTATATCTCCTGAATATTTAGAACCCAAACCTTTTTCTTTGGATAATCCTTTTTAAAAAGTTTTGGAATCATTATCATAAAGAATAAAATGATATTTTTAAATCCAGAGCACCTTCTGTTTTACTATTTACATTTTCTTTGGAATATGATGATTTGATAAGTAGAATAACATAAAAAAATATAAAGTTCTATTCTTATTGTAATTAAAAATAAAACTATGAGATTAATTAGAGTAGACATTATTGTTTGATTCTTGAATATTATTTCTACGAAAATGTATTTTTAAGATTTAAAATTTCAGAACATCTTCTATAAATTATGTAACTTAGCCAACAACTAAGTTACAATTCTTTATCTAAGTCTATTATAATATATTGAAATTTTACAATAAATTTGTTGTTAAATGATTTTTAGGAAATGCATCATAAAAACGATACATAAAAATATTTAATTTATGCAAATAAACTAGAATTTTTATAAGCAAAATGAAAACATAATCAGTTTAATTTTAGTATGGTTAATACAAGAATGTGATGATTTAATAAGTCATTAATCACATTATTATTGAAAAACCTTGAAAAAATATATTTGTCTCAAAGTAAATCAAAATGACTATGATAATATTTTTTTCATTTATGACCAACTTTTACAATATTATCACCTACAACCCAACAGCCTATACATGATTCAAATTTTTGAAGCAATCATTAATTAAATCTGACTCAGGAAGAGGTCTTCAATATCCAGATTTCAAGTTGATATTGGAACTAATATATCAATAGGTAAATTGGAATGTATGATTAGTAATTATTCTAGTTTCCAAATATATTTGTACTTAAATTAATTTTTTATATTGTTCTTTTATTAAATAACAAATGATAGTAATTATAAATTAGCAAAATAGCAAAGAAAAAAGATTCATGAGTATATGATGATTTTCTTGTATTTCAACAAACCTTACCAAAATTATTTTTTCAAGTTTCTTAATATTTGGGATTCATTTTTAATTGATTTTAATTTTGATCATGAAAAATTTCATAAAAAATATTAATAATTTAAAGATAAAAACTAATTTAAATTACATTCTAGATATTAACATATTGGCAAGTTTTAAATTATTAGGACAAGAATGATTATATAAATTGTAACCATCAAAAGGTACATTATTCTCATCAATCTCATTAAATTGGAATGCATATTTTTTCTAGCTCAACATATTCCGAACTTGTTTTATTATCCAAGCATGTTCCTCTGATATAATTCCAACAACAACTTGTATAATAAATAGTTGGCATTGGTTTCTCTTCTCTAATAATATATTATAAATATTAACTATACAGTTAGACCCGAATAATTATAATTTAAATATACTATGATATCATCAATTACAATATTAATTTTGAGTTATTAACTAATAATGTTATTTATAAACTAATTGTTTGATGATGATTCAACATTATTTGATTTACTAAATGATTTCTAAATGATTCAAATTAAAATGAGACTCTAACATAATATAAAGTTTTACAAAAGGCATTTTATGCATCCATAATAGTTTCTGTAAACATAAAAGTCATCATTATTCCATTAATCAATTCTATTATTGTAAAGGATTTAAAGTATCTATCTAGTTTCTCTATATCACCTACTAAAATTAAATGTTAGGACGATTTAGCAAATAAATTAATAAATTTCATTAATTAAAAAATAAAATACTTGTTTATAAAAGCTAAATAAGCAAAATAGAAAATTAATTTTATCATTTTTTTTGAAACTCATTCGAATGTTTAATTGAAACTAATTTAGTTAGATTAATAGATAAAGTAACTTAAAAAAAGATATTAAATATTAGTTTAGATTAAGAAATGTACTTTTCAGGGAGTGCTTCAATTTAAGAAATTATAAGAATAATCACAAGATATTTTTTAAGCGACCCAGACTTGATTCAAATAAAAGACATTCAAGTAATTATACTAAATTGCTATTAAAATTTATATCATCTGTTACTTGTATTAAATATAGGATATAGAATACTATATTGATATGGAATTTAGAATATATTCCAGCAATAACCATACTTTCATAAACCATAATTATATTGGATATTTATTTAAAGTCCATTATTTTTATATTATTTAAAATCTAATTTCTTTATTTTNATAAATTAGCAATATAGAAAAGAGAAAAGATTCATGAGTATATTATAATTTTCTTGTATTTCTACAAACCTTATCAAAATTATGTTTTCAAGTTTCTTAATATTTGGAATTCAACTCTAATTGATTTTAATATTGATCATGAAAAATTTCTTTAAAAATATTTATAATTTAAAGATAAAAACTAATTTAAATTACATTCTAGATATTAACATATTGGAAAGTTTTAAATTATTAGGACAAGAATGTTTATATAAATTGCAAATCAAAAGGTACATTATTCTCATCAAATCTCATTAAATTGGAATGCATATTTTTTCTAGCTCAACATATTCCGAACTTGTTTTACTATCCAAGCATGTTCCTCTGATACAATTCCAAAACCAAGTTTTATAATAAATAGTTGGCATTGGTTTCTCTTCTCTAATGATATATTATAAATATTCACTATATAGTTAGACCCGAATAATTATAATTTAAATATACTATGATATCATCAATTACAATATTAATTTTGAGTTATTAACTAATAATGTTATTTATAAACTAATTGTTTGATGATGATTCAACATTATTTGATTTACTAAATGATTTCTAAATGATTCAAATTAAAATGAGACTCTAACATAATATAAAGTTTTAAAAAAGGCATTTTCTGCATCCATAATAGTCTCTGTAAACATAAAAATTATCATTATTCCATTAATCAATTCTATTATTGTAAAGGATTTAAAGTATCTATCTAGTTTCTCTATATCACCTACTAAAATTAAATGTTAGGACGATTTAGCAAATAAATTAATAAATTTCATTAATTAAAAAATAAAATACTTGTTTATAAAAGCTAAATAAGCAAAATAGAAAATTAATTTTATCATTTTTGTTTGAAACTCATTCGAATGTTTAATTGAAACTAATTTAGTTAGATTAATAGATAAAGTAACTTAAAAAAAGATATAAAATATTAGTTTAGATTAAGAAATGTGACTTGATTCAAATAAAAGACATTCATTCAAGTAATTATACAAAATTTCTATTAAATTTATATGATCTGTTACTTAAATATAGGATATAGAATACTATATTGATATGGAATTTAGAATATATTCCAGTAATAATAAACATACTTTCATAAACCATAATTATATTGGATATTTATTTACAGTCCATTATTTTTATATTATTTAAAATCTAATTTCTTTATTTTTTATCAAGAAAATTCTTTATTATGATTTCACTATTTTAAATTATGTATATTTTTTTTCTTGATTTATTCAGATAGATAATAATAAAATAGTGTGAATACTCACCAGCAAAGGAACAGTTTTGCAAAACTTATAATTATTTCTATATTATTTTAGCCCTATTAAAAAGTTTATAATTGTAAAATTCTTTAATTTTTCCTCAATAATTCTCATATTGACTGAAATAGTAATTAATGTATGTCAGCAACTAAAATTGATATAAATGTGAATTGATTATTTATTAATAAGGGTTAAAAATTAATAATTAGTAAAAATAAGCAAATTTTGAAACCAAAAAAAATAGAAAAATTTTGTATTTATAGATTTGAAATTTAGAAAATGGTAATCCTTTTTCATAATTTTATATATCAAAATTTTAAATTGTAATTAGCTTTTGTTTCCATGATTATTATTTAGGCATTATACTAGGTCAATCTATTTGTGGTATTTTGTAGCATGGAAATCTTAACAATTAAAAATTGTTAGAGTTTACCAAAGTAAGTTAAATTTTTGTAATTCAAGCTTACTATTTAGAAACGACTAATATAAAGTTAAAGAGTGAATTATTATGCTCTTAAATTATCCTGAAAATTTCAAATTGCTGTTATAGCCCCACTTGAATATATCTACTACTATTTAATTATCAGATTCTATCTGGCTCTTCTAACCTTATTATTTGGAAACCTCAATGTAATAGATGCTTAATCTACCTTATTTCAATAATTTTAGGTAATTAATTTTATTTAATAAAATTGAAAAATGTATTTTTTTTGAATAATTATAGTAATAGTAAAAAATTACAAAGAGAATTTATGCAATTAGAACTTACATTATGTATTAAAATATAAAAATTATAATCTAACTAAGATTTTTATGTGAAAAATAATTACAAATAAATTTAACTTATTTTTTTCTTTCCTTAGTAATATATTGAAAAAAAAAAATATTTAGTTGTTTTTAAGGTAAAATTATTGATATATTAAATAAAATATAAAACATGTATTGGTTATTTTTAGCAATACTAAAAAATATAAATCTAGCTTTATAAAACAATCTACATGTAATTAGAATTTAGATTTTTATAAATTAAAAATATTTACTTTATTCATATTAATGAGCCTATTGTTATAATTATTTAGATAAAACATGAAAAATTATCATGTGTCAAGTTTATCATATAAAACAAATTAACTTTTCAATTTTATTTTAATTTATTGAGATTTAAAATATAAAAATGATATTATATTTTAAACTCATTTTTCTTTATTTTCATATTAAACTAATCCCAATTATGCTTTTTAAAAAGTAAAATCAAATAATTTTTTTTATAAACTAAAATATTTTAAGGAAGTAATAAATTTATTTTGATGACTATTTTTATTATTATAATAGTGAAATAAACGAAGAGTGGATTAACATTGATAATTCTTTTAATCTTAATTTAAATAACGAAATAGTATTGCATCAGATAATCAAACAACTTATATTCTGTATTGAAGAGAAATCACTAGAATGTATTATCTTATTAATCAGGAGCATTGATTTCATCAAAAACTATTAATTACTTTTAATATGGGAATAATGGGGTTGTTTTAAGAGATGAGTTTTATAAAATATTGCCATATGGAGTATACTTTACTCGTTGTCAATTAGGGCAATCAATTTCCATAATACTACTCTAAAAGTATTTATTAACTACATTAAAAATTTGGTTTTGGGAATATGAGTATCTTCATAACAAAGGCATCAGATATTACGATATAATTGTTTATGCTAAATTAGATTAGGGAAAAAATAAAATTTATGATAGTAACTTAGCAATAAGTTTAATGAAGATAGAATTTCCAGAATAGTTTGTTGAGGAATTTTAAATAGTAAATGTAGGAGGTAATACTTACAATTCAGGTTTACACATCATTAAAGTTGAAGCATATTATAAATTTTCATGAGTTTTTTAAATTTATTTTAAATTATTTTAATTAATTGTTCCATCAATAATAATCTTAACCTAAATTTAAGCAATTAAAAATTGTAAAGATATTAAATGAATAGTTTATCTTGAATAAATAAATATGTTCTTTGTATTCTAATCCTTTTAGGTGATTTTATCATAAAAGATTTTCTAAAGATATAATTTTATTCTATTTCAGATAATTTAAGTATTTTCTATAAAATATTAATTCTTACTACTAAAGCAATTTAAATACGAAATAACAATATCGATATTGTTATAATTTACATAAGGATTGTGAAAATAAAATGATGGATAAAAACAAAAGATGAAGAATTTTTCATTTTTTACGTCTAATGATTTGAAGAATTATCAGTATAAATTAAAATACTACGTATTGAAATTTCATATCTATATTTTAAATGTAGATAAGTTATTTTAACAAAATGGATATTGAAGAACATTTTAATTAAAAAATAAGAATTATATAGAAAGATCAATTTTTAGTTTTTGTTGAAAGAATATAATGTTAGATTTAAAATTTTCTGTAATGAATACAAGAATATAATTCTTAATAGGTTTCTTTATTTACTTAAATTATTATTAATATCATAATCTTAAGCTACTTAGAATCAATTATATATATATGCTTAATAAAATAGTTAGATTAATAACTTTATTTTTTTTTTGAAGATGTTATTTAATATAATATCAATTAGATTTATTGATTAATTCTCATATTTTATTTTTCAATCATGAATAACTATAATTTAAGAACCAGATTTATGTAGATCAATTAAAAAACATGATATGTATTTATAATATAAATTTTGAAATATGCAAATTTCATCCATTTATATTTACATTTAATTTAAAAAATTTTGATATCTAAGAGGAAGCAAATGTAAATTTTTTTGATTTCAAAAAATAAATTCTATTTATATATTTAACTCAGATATCTATGCAAAATTTGACTCATAAATCAGATCTAAAAAGGCTAAACTTTTAAGATTGA